CCCGAAACGGGGCACGAACCCGCGTCCCCTGCATCGGCAGGCGGACTCTCAAGCACTGCGCCACCAGGGAAGCCCAAGAATAGTGTTCTTAATCGTAGAATCCCAGAAGTCCATATAAACATAGAAATCAAAATTTTTGTAGTTTTCTAACAATAAAATACTAATGTGTTATAATTATATCAGATTCATTAATTCAGGAAACAAATCGGATAAAACACAAATTTATTTTTTACTTTGCAGAATATTTTAGGAAAAAAGTAGTTAAAAACTACCAATTTTTAATATTGGTATGAGAGTTTGTTTCAGTTTACATGTTGTTTATAAGCTAGAAAATTATCATAATCCAGGCATTTTTACCTCAGTAACTGTATATACAATAGCTTGCATGCTTTTCTCGTTTTTGGGTGTGGCTGTCCTTTTCCTTATAAGCCATTTTTCTCCTCCTTCCCAAACTTGGCTGACTCTGTGTTTTAAAGACTTAGTTCACGCATCACCTAGTTGAGGATTCTTCTCCTTTCTGGATTGGGTTAATTGTCCCTTCTCTGTACCTTGATTGCATCCCAGGCATAGCATTTGGCACATTGTTTTGTAATCATTTGTTTTTCTCCCAGGGCTGTAAATTCCCCTGATACAGGTGGTACATATTTCATTTCTGCATCTCCAGTGCTCAGCTCAATACTTGAAACACAGCAGTTGCTCAGTTTTTATTAACTGGGTTATTTAAATAAAAGAAGGTAAAGGAATCATTGTATAAATTAAAAAAAAAATTAAGTATTTATTGGATTCTACTTTTAAAGAAAATCTGAAAACCAGAAAGGCTATACATTCATTACAATATCTTCACTTCATATAGCAGATGATGTTTATTTCTTCCTTTAGGTGTTTACTGTTGGCAGAATTTGTGCTAATCGTACCAGAATTTACCATGAACTGAAACATTTTAAATTCAAGCTGTACCAGGAATGTTGCTCCATTGCAAAGACAGAAGAGGTTGAAGATGAACAGGTTAAAGAAACAGTGGAGAGAATTTTCAATCAGTCAAAAGAAAGTGGCTGGATTAAGGAGGTAAGGTATTCAATATAGAAGAACCATTTCATCGATTAGGTTCTGGAGCCTAATTTTGATCAGCCAAAGGATACAAATTATGAGAATAGAAGACAGTAAAATTTAAAAGAGAACCTCTCTTTCTCTCCCTGTCTTTGTATTTTCTCTTCTTCCACCCATTCCTTTCATGCTTATCATTGTCCTACCCTGAATAGGTGCCCTGATGTTCTAAGCATTCGCTCAACTCATCAGATAAATTTTAATCAGCAATGATACTGTCCTTTAATGAAGGACCTCTGTCCTTTCAGTTTTATGTATGCGGTTTTCCTTACATATATATTAAGTCCCCTTATTTTCTTTGACAAAGTGTAGGACTCACCTCTGCTTGTCTGCTTCCTATCTTTAGAACAGTTCTTGTGACCTGAGAGAGAAGAAGCACCTGGTGCCAATCTGAGGAAAAGATCTCGGCTGCCAGTTCTAATACCACCCACATCCTCTTCTTGAGGACATGGGACTGAGCAGTGAGCACTGTAACTGGAGATCAAGGGGAATGCAGAGGTTTCAGGCCACGGCACTGATTTTGATTCCCCCATATCCTGTTGATCACTAAATTTGATATCAGGGATAAAGTGGGGGTTTTGAAGAGTGCACTGGATTCCCGAACATCTGCTGGCAGCTCATAAGCTCTGGTCTGCTCATAGAACTTTTAGAATTGTTATGGTGCATGGAAAGAATGCTAAAATGATTGCAGTCTTCTAAAACAAGTCTAGTTACATGACTGTATAAGAGAGAACAGATAAGAGATTTTCAGGCAACTCAGTATATTTAATCTTAAAAAAAAAAAGGCTGACTTGAGATCCATTGCCTGCATTATTTATATCATAGGGAAATTTGTAAAAAGAAAAAAATAAAAAGAGCTTAGAGAATAAACTTACGAGCAAAAGGAAAGAAAATGAGAACAACAAAACAGGAACTTCTTAGGACATTACTAGTTCCACAGAGGTCTCCTGGGCTGGTGAATGACATCAAGATTGGTTTCCCTTTTGACAATTATCCACCCACCACAAACCACCACCCAATGATCTCCTTGCCTGCCCCCCACATCTTGACCCTTAAGTCATCTTGCTCTCATTTTTCTCTCTTCAGCTTTTTATCTTTTACTTTGCTTCCACTTCTCTCACTCCCAATTCTTTCCTCCTTATCCTTCTCTGTGCTTTTTCATTTGCCTTGGGGAAGAGCCATCACTTACCCAGTAAGTCCCAACTTCATTTTCCTTAATGACATTAAATTCTTAAGTGCTTTTATTGATGCATTTAAGTGTTGCCAACCCTCTCCTGGAGTTGAAAGACCTATTGGAACACTGCATTTTTAAAAAAATTATGTACTAGGTGTAGCAAAATCACTGTGCATTACATATATTATATAATAATTTTCTATATAGGGAAGAACATTAAACTTCTTGCAGAAAAAAGTAAAAGCATCTCCAAATCACATACCTTAGAGAAAGCTTAACAAGGTCTATGACAACAGAAGGGACCTGGAATAAAAAAACATTCTTAAGAAAAGAAAGCCAAGTATCACATTATGCTTAAAGAATAACACTTAGCATTGGGAATTGAAGGTATTTCAAGATGGTGCATGTTTAGGACAATGTGCACATTTTTTTTCCACATAAAATACCAAAGAACTTCATTTTCTTTTTGAGATCCTTCCTACTTTTAAAAAAATTGTCTATAGACTTTCTCAAAAGATTTCCTAGAAACCAAAGAAGTTTATTAGCCAGTATAAACCCATATGCATCTTTGTGTGCTGTGATTAAATTTCAGGATTTATCAAGTACCCTGACATTTCTCAACATCACTCTGCCTCCCCCTCAGTGTGTGTGTGTGTGTGTCTTTGAGTAATAGCACTACATGTGTTCTTGTGATGCATGACTTCTTCTTGGCCCCAGTTATTCTAACCCTTTAGAATGCCAGGGCTCAGTGCTATTATACTTGAGTGGCCACATCCATGGCTCTTTCTGCTCTTAGCTCTCAATTATTATGTGAACCCCTTCTTTTACCTTACACAAACTATCTGTTCCTGTCATTCCTCCCCCAGCTTGTGTTTCACACCTGCTTTTTTCCTTACCTGACTCTTCTTCCTTCGAGCATTTTCCTTCCATTATCTCGGGATATCTCAGCATTTCTTCCCAAAGACCTGCCAACTAGACTAACTTCATTCTTCTTATTCTTCCTCCTAACAGTTGAACTAGGAGATCTGTTTTTAACTAATGATATTAAAAGGGTAGGAGCAATTCAAGTATAAGAAAAGAACAAATGATAAGGAAATTATAATACAAAATTATAATAAAATGAAAATATATAATAAACATAATAGTAATATATGTCTCGTTCTAAATTAGAGCTGAAGAACAGAGTATCATATGCACTGGCAAATTCTAACAAATGTTTTTTCTTTAAGAAGAGAGTGCCTATGATGATGGGGTTTCCAGGGAAGTTGAAGACAGGATTTTTGGGATGGGGTGGTGAATACATAACACCAGGAAGTGAATAAAGTATGTCCGTAGAAGTATCAAGTTTCAGTTCCTATCACCACAAGCATCAGAGTTATCAGGATCCTCACTCACTATACTGGGAGTAAAACCAGAGCTCATAAGTAGAGTTAAGAAACCATTAGGTCAGTTCATCTCCTCAGCTGAAGGAAGCACTCTGAAATCTGTCAACCTTGAAATCTCCAAATCATCCCAATTCCTCTCTTCTCTTGTCCTGCCCTGGTCTTTACTCTCCACCTTCATTGCTGTCACTCAAATTTAGGCCCTCATTACCTAAATTATTACAGTAGACTATTATAGTAAGTAGTTGCCAAACCATTCTAGACTAGATGTTTCACCTTTTTTTCCCCCAAAAAATACACCTCAGATAGTGTCAATTTCCTGCCCTAATACCTTTGGCAGTTTTCCATCACCTGTCACATTATTGCTAAACTCTGTAACCTAGCATTTCATACTACCTCTTTGGTTCAGTCTTATCTCTCTCAATTCCCCTACAAAACCTCAGATTGTAGTCAAATCCCGTACTTTCTTGTCTTGTCACTGTTGTATGGACTTTTGTCTCCTAGAGAAAACTCTTCACCAAATTGTTGCCTACCAAATCTTTTTCCCCAGGACAGCTTAAATGCCACTCTTTCCTGGTCACCTCAGCTAACCATAACCTCTCTTCTGAACCCACGTAACAGTGTCTATACTTCTTTATGGCACTTGTTATTTGTTGTCATTGGTGAACTCTGTTCTCCTTAGGGGCCGGGAAAGCATTTTTTTTAATACCTAAACAGTCATTAGCAGAGTATTTGATATATGTTATGTGTTCAGCAAATTTTTGTTGAATAAGTTATTAAAGTTGTTATATTTCTACTATAAATATGATAATAGAAAACTTATAAGAAAGTTATGAAGTTAATAATAATGTTCATTTTGATCTCTTTCCAATGCTTTATATGAATTAGAAATGCTTATTTGAAATTGAGTCCCTGTTCATAATAAAAAGATTTTTGTTCACAATTACCATGAGATTAACTTGTTCCTATTTGTGTCTGTGGATTGAAAAGGCCTAGTTTATCTTCACTGCTTTGAGTAAAATAACTAGCTTTTTTATTGTATACACAGAAATACGGTCAACTTCAAGAATATCTCAGTTCTGCGGATTACTTTCAAGATGAGAAGTTTGACTGAATTGTAACACATTTCCTTCAGAGAAGATTTTATAAATTCCTGTAAATTTGAAGATCATGAGTCTTGTTTCTCTGTATCATGTGACATTTATATATTTTATGTATAGGTTCATGGCAAAATATCTTGTGTAAAACATATGTTCATCTTAATTTCCATGAATGGCGCTCTACAGTCTAATAAAATTTTATCCACTGTACATAGAAAACATAAGCTTAATCATTGTTAAGTGTATTTTAAAGTTATATAACGATGCCTTTATAACATACGACTATCAAGTGAATGAGCTGTTTATGTACTGTCAGTTTAATAGAAAAACACTGTTTTTAAAAAATGTATTTAGACTAACATCTATGCGTATTTATTGCTGAATTCCTGCCCAGATCTGTTTATTACTCTTTTGCAGTATTAAATGATCTTCACTAATATATTTTTTACTACTGTCCTTATCTAAATCAGTGGGCCGTGAAAGAAACCTCAATGTCTCATTCAATTCAGTTTCCTTGCCTCAGAATCAGACTGTAGTTTACCCATTTCAAGTAGAGGAGTGCTTTTTCTCCTCTTCCAGAGTTTCCCTTATGAATAGATTTCAGGCCTCCAGAGTCATCCAACCCTTATATTCAGGAATAATTTCATGATACGTATTTTCATGCTTCTTTTTCCTATCCAATTTTGTTTTCCTATCCAATTTTGTCTACAGGTTAATGATTTAAGATGTATTTTATTTATTTTTATCCATTACTTTTCCCACATAAGTATTTATGTTAGGATCAGAAGATCTCAGAGAGACAAATTCAGCCAAAAATAGTTTAAAAGCATATTTTGGCATCTGCATTGCTCTGCATTGCTTTGCACATCTAAATTTTCACTTAATATAAATATAATAAATAATAAAGTAAAATGGTTTCAGAGTGAACAAATGGACCATGTCTATTCTGTATCTTTAATTCTTAAAAGTGGTATTCTCATAGGATCCAGTTCCCTGTGGAATTTTATTTATTTATTTATTTTTTACATCTTTATTGGAGTATAATTGCTTTACAATGGTGTGTTAGTTTCTGTTGTATAACAAGGTGAATCAGCTCTACATATACATATATCCCCATATCTCCTCCCTCTTGCGTCCCCTGTGGAATTTTAGATACTTGTTCCTTATTTGAAGTGTTGGTTGAACCTAGCTTCATCTGTTATGTGGTTCATGGAATGGACTTCATCACAAACTGCATACATTAAAAATTGCATTTTATTAAGTCCTTACATAGAGATTACTTAATATTTTCTGCAATTAATTTTCCAAACTTATCCCTATTATGATTGTAAACAAAACAGGGAGAAAGAGCTTACAAAGTTGTGAGAATACTGATGCTGATGTTTCATGTGAGGAGTGCATACCTTTTTAAAAGTGTGAAATAGAAATTTCAGTCACATATCTCTATTATTATTATTTTTCTGTCATATGGAAATAATCCTTAACTATATGAAGCCACAGTTGAAAGTTAAAGTGAGTGTCCAAAAAGATGCAAGGCAGAGTTTAGAGGAAAAGTGATAGTCAAGTGGGAAGGGTGAAGGATCACGAATGATTTGTTAAAAAAGAAGTCCAAGAAAAGCAAGGGAATGATCTCTAAAGTATCTCTGATGACCCGGGAAGCCTCACTTCTTGTATGTGACACTACAGACAAGCTTGAGCCAGCTGAAGAGAGAGAGTTCCAACTGAAAGTTTTAAAAATTAATTTATCTATTCTTTTAAATAGCATGCATTTAATTTGTAAAAATGAAAGCACTAATGATTTTAGGGACTTATGATGGCAGCTGACCCAGTTCCTAGATCAGGCATCGTGTTGGCTTGAAGCATTTTTCCTATTAGAACAGCATTCTGACTGTTGGTCAGGAAATGCTAATAGGTAGTTTTGCTGATGTCTAAGGTCACTGCACCCGAGCAAGCTTCTTCAGTAGGTGTTTGGAGAGTACAAGAGGCTTTTATGTACATGATAACACCAAAAGAATGGCAAAGAGACAGGCTGTCAGGAAATGAGAATTAGCATGGATCACAGGGCCAAAAGCAAGTAGTCTAGAAGAAAATAGAAATGTTGAAAAATTAGAATTAACTTTTGCAGGTATTATGACATACTGTATTATTTTATCATCATCATCATCATTGATATCACTGATTCTATATAACACAAAAAATAGTTTGTAAACTTATAAATCTCACATGTCTATGAACTTTTTAGGTCTGGGCATTTATTACTATAGTGTTAAATGCTTTGTGTTAGGTAGCTATGGATAGTAGAGATGATGAGGAGCACAGATGGACAAATAAAAAGGAACTAATGCTTTAAAAAAAAATCCATAGAGCTACTACAGAAGCTTTAGGGATATAAGAGAAGGAACAGTTCCATAAAAGGGAACGACAAGGAAAAAAAGAAATGTTTATTTTATTGGCAGCTGTATTTAATTGACCATATTTTCTCACTTGTCTGCTCTCATACTCAGATGAGTAGTTCTATTCACTACTCATTTCTTGGAAGTATTATAGGACTTGCTTAGACTCCAGCATGTTGATTGAGGTGTAATTGCAGCCCTTGAGCTATTTTGGGTATAGTCTGGTTTCCCTGTAACTCTTTTCACACTTGATACTGAGGCACCAAGTCCAGTGGTTAAGAGAATATAGGTTTGAAATCAGCCTTGAGTTTGAGTCCTGATGTGTTACTTCCTAGTTAGCTTAAGTAGTTTAATTTCAATAAGCCTCAGTTTCCTCATTTATAAATGGGGTTAATAATACCTCTCCCTCAGGATAGGTGGTGGATTAAAGGAGATATATGTGAAATGCTGTGCCTGAAACTGACTGTTAATAAACAGTAACTGATGTGAATGGAAATGAGGTTGTGGATGATGATGTCATCTTGAAATTAAATGGCTGTAAAGGGTAAATTTGTACAAAAGACAACGTAAAGGAGTGTCCTACAACACTAGAATATAGTATGAAAATGTATTAAATTGTTGTTTGACAAGTTTTTAAGGTGTGTCCTTGCCTAGCTTAGAATTCAAAGTTTATGTCATTTAGGAATAGCGGATTTGACCAAAAACTGTTATTAATCAAAACCCGTGTTATTGCAAGACTGTAGAGTGAACAGTAAATTTTAATTTAAATATTGAATTTTTTCTCTTTCATCAAGTATGATTGCTGAATATAAAGTTCCGATAGTAATAGAAAGAAGATAATGTCTAATGAATACACCTTTTTAAAAATCAAATATAAAATGATCAAAACTTCACGTTTTAATGTCACCTCATGAGAGATTTCTGCATACAAATTTGCATACCTAACAAAGATATATTTCTGCTTTTGTCCATGAGTGGTGAGGAATTTAGCCTTGGAAGGGACAGAAAGAAGTATGTTCCAATGAGAAGTAAAAAAGTTATATTCCATCAGAATGCACTTGTCCGAAATTCCAAAGTAGCATTCCAGGTTTTGTGAAAATAAAATGAACTAATGTAGGCCAGCCTATCGAGAACTAAATTGTAGATAAATCCAGCCTTAAAATGTTTGCATTGATCTTACCCATTCACTTCTATCCACAGCTCAGTTTGAAGCAGCACCATGTTACTGTGATGCCAGAGTTGGTTTAAATTAACAAAGCCCCATTGCTTGAGACCTCAAATCCAAACGACTTCCAAGTTAGGACACACAGAATATTTACGGACCTGACTATACCAATCTTGTGCTCACCTTAATTTATTCTCCATAATTGATAATAAGCAGAATCCAATATACATTTTGAGGTCTTAAAGGTAGGATTATCTGAAGATGAGGGAACAACAGTCTGTGTCAGAGATCTATTTGGTTTGTGTTAGTAAACTTCTTGAAACTCGACTGCTACATAATGATTTTCCTCATTGTATATGTAAATCAGACAGCTATGGAGACCCCAGATCTTGCACTAGGTTTGTCATAGGCAATCTTGTATTTTCAAAGAAATAATTTTTTTTTTTTTTTTCCTTTCTGGAACTGGTATTGGTAATTTCATCATGGTAAGCTATTTTGGTTATTCTTACTGATTTGCTTGTGATCACCCAGATTGACTTATCCAGAGACGTACAAAGCAGGCGGGCAGGTAGATAGACACCCGCCTGTCCTTTAGGAGCTAATGATGTGATTTCTTCTCCTCCCCCTCCTCCCCCCTCCCGCAACGCGCACACACCCTACGTCTCCCTGTGACACTCTTGAACATCTCCTCCGTGCTCACCCAGATCTCGCTAGGGTGCTCTGGGGTGTCATGGACAACATACTGAAAAATGAAAATGACATCCTCAGGGGGGCGTAACGGAGGTCTGGAAGGGAAAATACATCCCCTGGCCGGGAATTTCTTCAACATTTCGAGCTGGTGAAGTAGTCGACTAGAGGTTTTGGGGAATTTCCCCAGCCTTCTCCCCCGCCCCGGAGCCGAGGCGGAGGCCGAGCTGCGCGCGCCGCCGCCGAGATGCACAGGCTTTGGGATTCACCTCTTCAGCCGCTGGGAGGCCCTCTGTGTTCCCCTTTCCCCGGCGCCGGCCGCCTTGCTCGCCTGTGCAGTGGCACCCGCCTTCCACCAGGGAGCCTCGGGCGAGCGCTCCCCCCGCCCCGCAGCTCGCTGGCTCTCTCTTTCTCCCTCTGTCTCACTCTCTCTCTTTCTCTCCCTCTCCTATCGGAGCACAATGAAAGCCTGTGTATCGCCGTGACTCCGGGCTGCGGAGCCAGTGTCAGCCCAGCGGCGAACAACAGACGGGAAAGAGAAAGGAAAAGACCAGCTACTTTCTTTTCCATCTCTAAAGCGGAGCAATCCAAGAGATAGAACCACATTGCTTATTGCGAGTCCAGACCCTCAGATCCACTGGCCGGGGATGGAATGTACAAAAGTGGACAGAAAAGTGGCTGGACATGACTCGGTGCAATTTGCTGGAAGTTTGTAAGTTTGACCATCGTTTGTAAATTACTCTCGGAGGAGTTTGTCTCTCTTGATAACTGTATTAGGATCGAGCCGGGGGTGAAGACTAGGAACGTAAGCGGGAAAGAAAAAAAATGTGTTGAAGGATCTCTCTCAGTGGCTAGTGACTTCAGACTGCTTTCATTTAAGGCTGGGAAACCTTAGAGGGAATGAGGATTTTACTGGTGATTGGATTAGCCGAAGAAAAAAGCATGGTCCAAAAGTCCAGTTACTGGCATTAACAATTGAAAAGCTGCCTCCCGTTCTTTGGGGAGAGGATCACATCCTGCAGTCCCCCTAAGGGGAGAAAACACCGGAGCAAAGGGAAAGGGAGGAAAAAATTAAAAGCCAAAAGACAGTATCTCTTGATTTTTGTACGTTTTGAACATTGACTTCAAAAAGCTTCTGAAACAGCACTTTTTTTTTTTTTAACCTGAGTAAAAGTAAAGGCCGTGGGTTACAGAGACCATGGTAGAAATGGGTTTCTCTGCAGAAACATCCCCATAAAGAATCTTCCAAAACAGCTAGGTGAGGGGGAGTCCAGCTCTGTATTAATACCTCTCACAATTCCCTTTGCTGTCTGTTCCTGTCTCTCACTTGACAATCCCTGAATTCTTGCTCTTACCCCCAGATCGATCGTGTGTTTACAAAGTACCTAGTGGCTCTTGTCAGCTTGGTGGGGGGAGAAAAACCCCACTAACTCTGTCCAACTTCTCCAGAGCTGTCAAATGCAATTAGAGTTAAGTTGATCAGGGTTTGTTTCCAACTTACGCTCTGCGATTGGCTTCTATTCTTTCTCCTCACCCCCTTTTACTCCCTCCCCTCCCGCATACCTTCTCCACTACTCCCCCCAACCTCTGAAGACCTCTATTCATGTGGCCCTGAACACTGAGCGCACATTGTCAACAGCAGATTTGCCTGCACTAACCAGCCATAGCCTCCTTCCACCTCACCATCCCAGAGGCAGCAATCATTGTGTCCAGTAAGATGGGGGACACAGCGCCCCCGCAGGCCCCCACAGGAGGGTTAGGGGGGGCCCCTGGGGCGGGGCTCCTTGGAGGGGGCTCGGTCACCCCGAGAGTGCACAGTGCCATTGTGGAGCGCCTTCGGGCACGGATCGCCGTCTGCCGCCAGCACCACCTGAGCTGTGAAGGACGCTACGAACGGGGTAGGGCCGAGAGCTCAGACCGGGAAAGAGAGAGCACCTTGCAGCTCCTGAGCCTCGTACAGCACGGCCAGGGAGCGAGGAAGGCTGGCAAACACACCAAGGCCACTGCCACTGCTGCCACCACTACAGCCCCTCCCCCGCCACCTGCTGCCCCTTCTACAGCCTCCCAAGCGGCAGCGACAGCGGCCCCACCGCCCCCACCAGACTATCACCATCACCACCAGCAGCACCTGCTGAGCAGTAGCAATAATGGTGGCAGTGGTGGGATCGACGGGGAGCAGCAGCCACCGGCTTCAACCCCGGCGGACCAGAGGAACTCGGCCCTGATTGCGGTAAGGCACCTGGTTTTCTCCTGATTCTGGCTGTGGTCGTGTGGACTTTGGCGAGGGTAGAGCTGGCCTCGGCCTGATGTAGAGTGGACGGCAGTGCAAAGGGCCAAGATGCCACCTGACTACCTCAAAGGCTATTGGGTGTCTTGTTTGTGAGGTGTTACTAAACCCTTACTCGTCAAGTTCTGCTGGTGTTCATTCATGGGTTTTCCTCCACCTGTAGAGTATTCCTTAAGTGGTAAGAAACTTGAGTTTTCCAGAGTTTGCTCTGGGGTCCAGAGCTTGCAGAAGAATTGGCTACGAGCAGCAAGATCTGAGCCATTGAGGAAGGTCTTGTCTCAGGCAGCCTCCAGCTTTGGCGAGCCAGCACTGATTAGGCCCAGCAAGCCATGCTTAGCCTGAAAGCATTTGTTTAGCAGTCCAGATGACCTTTAGCCAAGCCTTTTCGTTCTTGTCCTATTTCCCCTTCCCTCTTTGAAGTGGCCCCTTCTCCCTGGGTCAGGAGAACATAAGTGGTAATCTCTAGCAGAGCAAGTTCCCTGAGCATTCCCTCACTCAAAAACAAAAACTTGGGAAAATAGTTCAGAGACTGGTGAGGGAGTGTTTTTACAAGGCCTGCTCCCTGATTTCTTACAGATTCCCCCACTGTCCCCATCTAGCTTCTTGCCACAGGCACTACAATCAGATACTGCCCACTTACAGCCTTCACTAAAATGGGCAGGTGCAAAGGGGCTGTTTCCATGCTGTCATCCTAGAAAGTGCCTTGTCTTCAGCCATTCCTGGTGACAGGACATCCAACCTGAAAGTTGTGATTAGGTTTCTGGCTGGAAGTTCTTCCTCAGAAGTATAGACACACCTCATATCAGAGGGGGTAGCCCTTGACTCATTGGTTCTTGGTGCTAGTCCAGGTCAGGTGACTACCTGCCGTGTGCTGGCTTTCCCCCGCAAAGCTGCTGGGCCCATAGCCTCAGGGTAGAAGGTGGAGCCCTGTCCTGCAGCCCTGCAGCCCTGCAAGCTTCCTCCATTTCTGAGTTCTGTGGGGATTCGGAAGTCCTGTGTCCGCTCGCAGCACTGCTCCAGTTTGCCCAAGCCAGCCCTAATGAAAGTCAGCCACAGGAAATGGCCATGCAAACTGAAACATCCTCAAAAAGCCCAAAGGAGAGGAAGGCACTGGGTTGAACTCCTTCTCTGAGGGAACTTGAGAAGGAGCTCTAGGGAGAGGACATCCTCCAGCCAGGCCCCTAGGATGCTTCTCTGTGGGTCCTCCTTATCCCTGGCCTGGGTCTGTGATGGTTGAAGTTTCCAGAAAGTCTGGGGGCTGTATGGGTGCTGTTCTATTCCACCACACGTTTTGCTTGAGATGCCTAGAACTGCAACTTCCTGGCGCCAACTCCAGAGGAAAGATAACTGCTAACAGTTAAACTGCCCAATGTTTGTTGTTTTATCTTTGGATACAATTAACCTGTGGGGTTATATTAGTGCTTCAAGGCCTAATTTCCTCTCCCTTCCACCTGCTCTATCCCCACCTCTCCCTGGAATTCCCTAGGACAGCAATGAGAGCTTGTTTCGTGAAAGAGACATGTTGAGGTAAAGGGGGGCTGGGCGGGTAAAGAATCACTCAAATGGAGAGAAGAATGAGGTTTGTATGTGAGTGTGTGTGTCACTGGCATCTGGAGCCAAAAGCATCTAAATGCCCTGATTGTCCCCAGTAAATTTATAATCTGTCTGCAAGTCTCCCAATAATACCGCCTTGTGTGCTTCACAGTCTCCTGGTAAGTGTTTCGGGGGGTGATACAGGGAACCAGGCGCCCAGCCCTTCTCAGTGGAGAAGACAGATCTCTGTCCTGGGTGCCAAGATGGGATGTGGCCTTCACATCCCAGCCGCTGCAAGGAAGGTGTCTGCTTATGGCCTCGTTCTTTTGGTTTTTGCTTTTCTCCCACTTGGAAGGAAGATGAGGCTGCCTCTTTTTCTTGGGGGCTTGGGTATGCGAATTGAAACCAACTTCAGTGGTTATTGTAACTTTACGACGATAGCAATATCCATGCTGGGAGGAAGTGAGAGCACCATGTCTGGCCTTTCCCGACTGGAGGCTTAACTGCTGCGAAAGACAAAGGTGGCTGCTCCTTCACTCCTGTTCTAAAAGGGAATCTGCTTTCTCTCCCCTAACTACCAGCCATCTCCTAAAACATCCCCTTAGAGGAGCTCCCTCCCCAGGTGCCGAGAAGATTGATGAGCGGTGCAGTGTGAGTTAGGAGTAAAAAGTCCAGTTTATTCTGATGGTGGCTTTTCACTACAAACCTGTGCCAGTGCAAGGGTTGATCCGCCACCCCCCTTTTGGTTATTGGAAATTCCTTTCTCCATTTTAGCTTCTAAATTTGGCAGTTTGTTACTCAGCATGGTACTCAGAGATGGTGATGCAAGTACTGTATTAACCTGATAACATTGTGTCTGAAGGGAGGCCTGGGCATTTGGGAGTGATTCACTAAGCCTGTTAAATCTGCAGGTCTCACTTCACTCAGGATCCTCTTATTTTCAGAAATACCATCCATTTAAAGGGGTCTTTGTGCAGAATGGGTGTCAGAATTCTTTCTTAATACTGTGTCCATAACTAGATTTATTTCTGTCTGGGTGTGTTGAAGGTATTCCTTTAATAGTTAATTTGTATGCCCTAAGTGGCCATAAATGTCCTTTGGAGAAAAGGAGAGAATATTGATCATCTAAAATCGAATGTTCACGGTGTCCTCAGATGAAAGCCCTGTGTCCTGCGTACCTGCTAGTACAATGCCTTGTATATAGTCAGTAATATCTGAATGAGGGTGGAAAGAGAACTTCTGTTCTGAGGAATAGTGTTGTCTTTGAGGGGTGTGATACTACAAGAAATATATAATGTCAGAGATTTTCAATAGCCTGAGTTTCAAGAACAATGCAAGAAATAAACCTCCAAGCTGGTTCTAATTCTGTCCACATTGAGAGCCTAATTCTGCAGCCCTTACTCAGCCAGTTTCTTCATTTAACTCAAGTGCAAGTTCAGGGGAAGCCCCATTACTGCAGAGATTGCAGGAACAGGGCCTTTAAAGAGGGCCTGGATTGTAAGGGTTTAAGCAGATCTGCATTTCTGACCACTTGGAGCAGGCTTTAGGCACTAAATCATTTTCTGGTGAAGTATGTTTGAATCTTTGAATGAACTGTGAAACTGAATAATTGCTGGTCCATGGAACAGAAAGGTTTAGAGCTTCCGTGGTGCATTATTAATCTTTCCCTTTTGCCTGAGACAAGCTCTTTTTCTGTTGCTTTAGACTGTGTTGCTAGGCTGGATAGATAAGTGGTTCTAAGTCATCTTTGGCTTCAGAGATTATCTTTTCTCTAATATAGTGTGGAGGAAAGAAAACAGATCAGACAGGGAGGCTGCATCCTCGGGGTCTGTGCCTGCGTGATCACTAACAAGCTGGGTGACCTAGGACAAGTTACTTAGCAGTCATGTGTAAAACAGAACAATAATGCTGCCCTAGCTCGTTGAGAAAGCCAATGAATGTGTGTTTCTGAATAGGCTTTGGAAAAAAATTAAGCACTGCAGAAATGCAAGGCATTATTACTAGTATTACTAATAATAAACTACTAGACAACAAATCATAATACCAGTTTTCCAGGGATTAAAAGTGTACTTAAGCTTTCAGTTGTCTGTTTTAAATGGTGAAATAGCTTTTATTGTAAATAGAGGGGTTGGTATTTCAAATTCAGTGCTGTCAAGATAAGACTGAGCTATCAGAGTACTTAAGTGTTCCCGAAGGTCCCCGGAAATCCTAGTGAAAATGTGCAGCGGTGTGAAAGTGTTTAGGGTCTTTTACAGGCCCCTGCACAGACCTGAGCAGCTTTGGAAAGGTGTGTCCCCCAGCCTGTGTCAGGAATATTAGAAAAGTAGTTTGCACAAATGACATGGGAAAGTTAACTATTTTGTCAACAATAGTCTAAAATGTTAATTGTTAGCTTAAGAAAGTCAAACAAGTTAAATCATTGCCAGAGTCCCCTGGTTATTTTTAACTGATAATAATCAAGTTTCCAATTGACAGTTCAAAATTTGAGGGCTGTAGGTGGGCGTGGGGCTGAAAACAGAAACAATTCATTGGCCAGAGCTGGGTGTCTGCAGCTGTCCATGTGGTAAATATCTTCCCTGGGACAGTGATAGGAGTGTTTACATTGTTTATATGTGCAGCCATCATTTCCTTAAAAACTGACCTATTTTTGTTCTGTTTTCCAGAACAGAGCAATAAAGGGGGAGTTCTTATCTATCCAGAACCCTCCTACTATTTCTTTCCAGTAAATATAATTGTAAGATCTCACAAAGGCAAAAGAGTTCAAGTGGAGAGAGAAGTTGGTACACTCCTTTATCAAAAATGGGTAGAAAGCTTGTTTTGACAGCCAAGTAATGTTATTATGTCACCCAAGATGTCTTGCTTGTTTAGGTCAGTGTTTATTTATAGAAGGCATCTGCTTTCTTTGAAATAATGTCTTTGCTAGGTGATGCTTATCAAATTTTTCTCAACCTTAAAGTTTAGTACGGTATGGCTCCCCTCTGCCAGTAAACCTTTTGTTACGTACCAAGACAAACATGGGTGTCCAAATGTTCTTAGGCATAACAAATATGACTGGCCTTGATTAGCTGTTTTTGTTTTTATTGTTGTTGTGTGTGTTTGTTTTTAGCACTGCTATTTAATCTCAGAAAGCTTAGAAGGAAATTTGAAAAAAAATCATCCAGTTCTGCTATGCATGGCAGCTAAACCATTCCGAGTGGCTTCTACTAGTTCCTTGTACTTTAATCCAGTCCCTTTTATATGATCATAGGCAGGATCATGTTTAATGAAAACAATTCTAAATTCTTTCTTCTTCATTTTCATGATAATTTCCCTTATACTTTAAAAGGTTCTGTGTGAGAATAGAGAAATACAGCTAAAGACCTAGTCCCTTCTTACTTACAGGCTAGTCGTCAATCAAGACCACATGGACA